TATTATGGTAAGATACAATTGGTGTTGGTATGGTTACCTAACATTACACTGTTCTTTTAAGTAGGAAACATACCTTAAAAATATATCAGCAACAAGGAAATAAAATATTAGACTAAAGGGAAGTAATAGAACATGAAGGTATCCCAGAATGTTGTGACTTCGTTACCTCTGCCTCCTTGCTGCCCTCAGGAACCTTTCCTCAAAGGGGTGGTCAAAACAGAAAAGCCTGCAGCTTGCCATATCTCAAAATAATAATCATTCCTTTCTTCTTTCCTTTTATTCTCTTTCGAAGTACATACTTACATATTCTCCACATTCCTTTTCCATGATAATTGGCTTCCTGTTAATCATTGACTCCTTTGTGTGTTCACTTTTGTATATTTTCATTGTAATCCAACCATCCATCAACCTTTCTATATGTCCAAAACATTACAATATTTTACTTTTCTCTTTCTTATATCTTTACTCCAATACAAGCCAGCACTTTATTGTATATCTCCTTGGGTTTGATTACTTCCCATTTACTTGTACAGTGGAACCTCAGTTTTCATCATTAATTTGTTCCAGAAACTCTGACAAAAACCGAATTCGATGAAAACCGAAGCAATATTTCCCATAAGAAATCATGTAAATCCAATTAATCCATTGCAGATACCCAAAAATATTAACAAAAAATACATTTAATAGAGAATAACTATAGTTTTACGTACAGAAAACAATGAAAAATAAATATAAAGGACTAATGAAACAGATAAATGAACATTTAACATCACTTTTACCTTTATTGAAGACTATTGTTGGCGTATGGCGTATGGAGAGGGAGGAGAGATTATCTCTATCACCATCACTACCACCCTCTACCACAATCACTACCACACACTACTACCATCACTATGACCCTATACCACCATCACTACAACCCTCTACCACCACCACTACCACCCTTTGCCGACGAGAAACAAAGCCAGACTGACTCAGAACGCATGGGATGCTTTGTGTGGGCTCGAGCGCACACATTCAGTACGGTGGACCACTGTCAACTTGACGAAAACAGAGGTGACGAACGAAAACTGGGACAAAATTTTGATGAAAAAAGTCGTCAAAAACTGAATTCAACAAACACCAGGGCAAACGAAAACCGAGGTTCCACTGTACTGTGCCACTTGCATTTCTTAAATGTGATCTCTCTCATTCAATGTCCATATTTCATTTGCTTGCATCAGCAAGAGTTTAGTCCATTGCAACTTTTAAAACCGTTGCCAAGATTCATGAAGTACTGTAAGCTCTTTGACATTAGTTGTAGTGACTCATAAGATTACAAATATGTATATTAATGAATATAAAGTAGCATAATTTAGATGGTAAGTACGTGTAATGAAATATGGAGAGTGGTGGCCATAGATTTTTTTTTTTTTTTTTTTTTTTTTTTTTTTTTTTTTTTTTTTTTTTGCGTCTGTGCACCTTGTAAGCTCTGAGGTTTGTTTTCAGTGTGTGGTTTTAGAATGCTTGAACTTCATCATTTCGTATTTCATGAAAAAAAAAATAGAAATCATAGCATTTACACAAAGAAGCAAGAACATTTTGCAGCATTTCGACATTTCAGTGTGGTTGGGTTTTTTTTTTTTTTCATGAAATTTCATCTATTTGATCACACAGGTAAGAAGGTAAGAACATAAGAATGTAGGAACACTGCAGAAGGCCTACTGGCCCATACGAGGCAGGTCCTTATCAAAACAACATCTACCTAAAGCTACTCAAGAAATAACTCCCGTACCCCTTAACACCAATCAAACCCAGCCCCTCCCACTCATATATTTGTCCAGTCTCTTCTTAAAGCTACCCAAGGTCCCAGCCTCTATCACCCCACTGGGAAGACTGTTCCACGCATCTACAACTCTGTTAGAAAACCAGTACTTACCTATGTCCTTTCTAAATCTAAATTTATCCAACTTAAATCCATTATTCCTGGTTCTTACCTGGTTCGACACCCTCAGTACTTTATTAATGTCTCCCTTGTTTATGCCCGTCATCCACTTATACACTTCAATGATATCTCCCCTCATTCTACGCCTCTCCAGAGAGTGGAGATTTAAGGCTTTAAGTCTATCTTCATACGGGAGGTTCCTTACATATATTGCAACTTTTTGTGTACTGTAC